CTCCTCTCCTCTCCTCTCCTCTCCTCTCCTCTCCTCTCTCCTCACAAAATACCTCCAAAGAAAGAGAAAAAGAGAAGCTGTTTCTCAGAACTGAGAGCTCCCTGCCTTTCCTCACAGTAATTAGGCCAGCCCCGACCAGCTAACAGTTTTTTCCCTGATACATTTTAAACACAGACATCTTCAATTCATTAACTGGTTATTGATTTATTTTTCAGCTTATGAATTGCTGTTGCTGGGGATGGTGTGGAGACAGCTTTCTGGAGAGGGCTCTTGTCTCTCCAGTCCCTGCCAGCAAAGAGCTGTTCAGACCTTCCAGGGCAATTCTTTACATTCTTGAGAAAAAATCCTACTTTGATGTAAAGGATGAGGTTTGCCTTAAAAGAAACCCAACAAGAAACCCAAACCCTAACTTCCCCCACTCACAGCCGGAGAAAGAGGATGAAGAGGAGTGATCCTGGTGCCCACAGAGCAGAGCCTGGCACCAGCCCCATCCCCACCTCCTCACTCCCCTTTCATCTGGTGTCAGAGCTCACTGGGATGGAGCAGATCCCATTGGGGAGGGGTGAGAGGTGGGCACTGCCAGCCAAGGCTCTGCAGCAGCCTCAGGCATGGTGTGCACACCAGGATGTGCAGGGCTGGGCCAGCAATGGGGCTGGCAGTGGGAGCAGGGGCTGCTGGCTCCCTACAGCACCTCCTCAGTGGCATTTGGCTGCTCCCAATCCTTCCCACCTGGCCAGAGGAGCTCCTGCCAGCCTGCAGGGCTGGGGGTGTTTATCTGGGGCCTGCCTGCAGAATCCTGCCCTGCCTGCTGTGCTGAGCCCACCTGCAGCACACTCCCTGCAGGATTCCAGCCACCCCTCCCACCCTGCAGGGAGAGGGGCTGGGAAGGCCTTGGTGCCCTGCACAGATGCAGGAAGGCAGCAGCCCCTGCCACAAGTGCCTCTGTGGTGCTGCTACATGGCCCTGGCAATGACCACCACGGGGACAATCACACACCCAGAGGCTTTACCTGGATCTATCCACCTGCCCAAGCATGGCAGGAGCAGCCACTGCATCCTTCAGATTGGATAAAACCAAAGAAGAGCTGGTGGGCGAAAACAGGGCCATGTGCCCCATGTCATTAGGGTTAAGGATGAAGGATGGTTAGTCCTGGGGGCAGGTGGGCTGGTGGGGCTGGAGAAGCCACCTGGGTGCTCAGGAACATGAGGCCTTGCTGTGAGGCCCCAGGGATGGCATCAAGGGAAGGCACAGGGACACAGGCCATGGATGCTCTGCAGCCCAGGGCAGGGGGTGCCCACATCTGCCTGAGGCAGGACAGACAAGCCAGTCCATGGATGAGTCAGAAGCTGACCAAGAACCTTGGGGTGCTGATTGCACCCCCAGACCTGCTGGCCACCACCTCCAGCTGCTACAGACCAGGTACAGGAATGGCTGGGACATTCCTGACAGCCCAACACCTCCCCTGAGAGCTGTCAGCAACTTCTCCAGCCATGAACCAGCCTCCCTCACCTCCGCCAGACCCCAGAGCTCCAGCAGAAGCATCACTAATTAGAAGCCAGGAGCACATTACAGATCATCTGGCGATTGATACAGAGCTGCTTTACATAAACCCTGCTGCAGAAGGGAATGAATCATACCTGCTCTGCCAGGGCTCTGCTGGTGGCAGCTCCCAGCCCCTGTGCTGAGCTGCCCCTGTCCCCTGGGGTCAGAGTGCACCCAGGATGCTGTGCCCAGGGCTGGGTGTTCCCAGGATGGTGTGCCCAGGGCTGGGATGCTCCCAGGATGGTGTGCCCAGGGATGGGGGCTCCCAGGATGGTGTGCCCAGGGATGGGATGTTCCCAGCATGGTGTGCCCAGGGCTCTGGTGCTCCCAGGATGGTGTGCCCAGGCCTGGGATGCTCCCAGGATGGTGTGCCCAGGGCTGGGATGCTCCCAGGATGGTGTGCCCAGGGATGCTCCCAGGATGGTGTGCCCAGGGCTGGGATGCTCCCAGGACGATGTGCCCAGGGCTGGGATGCTCCCAGGATGCTGTGCCCAGGGCTGGGATGCTCCCAGGATGCTGTGCCCAGGGCTGGGGGCTCCCACAGCTCTGGTACTGTGTGGGGGCAGTGGGGGTGAGCCCCCAGCACAGGGAGGGGGATGCTGTGGAGACCACAGTGCTACTTCCCAAGTGCTTTCCAAACATTCACAGATGTCCCTGTCCCTTAAGAAGGATCAGCATTAGGGATGTTAAGGCAGAAGCAGAGAAACTGAGGCACGGAGAGGGCACACAGGTGAGACAGATTCCCTGTGGCTGTCAGCATCCTTCCCCTTGTGCTTATCTGATGGGCAAGATTTGGGTGCCTTCCCCCATCAGGACCACACACTCAGCCCCACAAGGGCTGTTCTGGGGAACAGGCAGCCCCAAGTGCCACTGTCATCCTGAGCCAGCTTCATGGCAGCCACAGGATGGGGACAAGGGCAGCCTTGCCCCTGCACAGCACTGCCCCAGGTCCAGCCGGGCTCACCTGCCCAGCCTCCCTCAGAGGCAGCACCCCTGCAGCAGCTCAGCACTGGAGCAGCAGGGCTGGCACTCAGGGCTGGCACAATGGGCACAGCTGGCACCTGCCAAGGCAGTCCCCACACCCCCAGGGGACACGTGGGAAAAGCCATCAATTGGAACATCAACTGCAGCACTGGGAAGAATTGTCTCCTGACAACCAGAGAAGGTTGTTCAGCTACTGTGCTGTATCATAAATCACACCTCTATGACTTTGCCATCTGTCAGCCAGATTACACGTGTTCAGAGTCCCATGTCAGCATTTAAGTCAGAACACGGCATCTTTTTCCAGAAATAATTATCAGTGCTGAAGGCTCTTGCAGCAATATCTGTCCTCAGCCCTTCTCTCCAAAGCTCTGGACAGAAGGGCAGGACTGCCAGTGTGGCACAGCAATGCACAGCCTGGTGTGACATTGCCCCCTAAGCCCACTGCTTCAGGCACAGGGAGGGGCAGGGTCTGGCATGGCAATCTCCCTCCTGGCACCAGCCATGGTACCCAGCACCCTGAACAGAGCAGGCAGGGACAGGCAGAGGCAGAGAGACAGTGCTGTCCCCAGCCTGGGGTGTGCTGAGAGCCTGAGAGTGTCCCACCAGGATGAGCAGAGTACCCAGAGCAGCACCTGCACGCCAGCCTGGCCAAGGGGAAGGGTCCAGCTAAGCCCAGGGCACAGCTCCCACTGTGTGACACAGCCCGTATCCATCCCTTCACCCCACGGGTTTCCTGGGAGTCCAAGCCCACAGGAGTGACTGCCAAAGCCCCAGCCTGCCGAGGCACTGGGGAAGGCAGGCAGGGCACGGACATGGAGGGCTGGCAGCCTGTCCCCATCCTGCCTGTGCCTCCAGGAGCTCGCTGAGCCGGCCCCGGCCCCGGCACCCAGCGCACAAACCCCTCAGCTGCCCTGGGATGAGGACAAGGGGCTGAAGCAGCGTCCTCCGCCCCCTCGCTGGCCGGGCAGGCGGATGAGCAGTGACATTTCCCAAAGCTCAGTACAGAAATACAGGCACTGGATCCATCCTCCAGCTTCACCCGCCACACACAGGCGTGGATCCGGCCGGGGGTTCGCAGTCAGCACCGTATTCCCCAC